ATAGAGAGAGAGATAGAGAGAGAGATAGAGAGAGAGATAGAGAGAGAGATAGAGAGAGAGATAGAGAGAGAGAGAGAGAGAGAGAGATTCTTTTTAGCAGACGACAAAATTACGTACCAATCAGGAGCTCTTAAATGCGATCTGTACACGTCGGATCCTGCGAACGTGGGCGGTCCGAGTGAAGAAATGTTTAATCGAGCAAGCAAAGCGATAGAAAAACCATTTGCAGTATGAAGCGCGAAAAATATTATCGTTCGTCGTAGAATGAAAAGAATGAAACGAAGCACCGGTTACTGTCAAGAGAATACTCTGCGAAGCTTTCGTTTTATCTCGTAGCAGGGAATATTTACTTTCCATCGTTTCGAAGGTGGAACGCAGCCGAAGGAGCAGCTAAAAGAAGAGGATGGGATATATAGAAGGTGTGCGCTGCGTATTTATGACCCGAGAAACGAAGGAAATCTCGCTTGAAGCTGCGCCGACGAAATCCGCGGGCACAAACGCGCGTTCGCGTGGCCGATGCTCCTACGATGGTTTTTCGTTGCTAGCGTACCAATTATAGTAAATTCTTCCTAATTTTTCATCAGCTTGTAAACGAAATGAAGAATGAAGTACGAAGAATAACACATCGACAATTTAATTAACCCCTTGACATACCATTTTCTTCGCGTTACTGCGATTAGAAATTTTTCGATTGCAATAATTTCTTAGAAGCGAAAGAAAATTGCTGCTTATTGTATGCCTAAATTCACTTGAATGCTTAAACATTGATAACAAGAGATTAGAAATTTATTGCAATTTTAAAGGACAGAATAACAGCTATACTCGATAAATTATTACTAGAAATTTTCATGACGAATCGATCTCGTCGAAGTATGGCAAGGGGTTAAACGATCTAATTCCAAACGAAATTTCACACGAACCATCGACGATCCAAATGTAGAAGTATTAATCTAACGATAAACAAGTGATTAAAAAATGAATACAGAGAAGAAAAAGAAAAGAAGAGAAAGCATTCATGTCTTTCATTTTATTTTGTTCCCAAGTACAGTAAATTCTCTTTAATTGGAGATATGATTCTTCGAGTGTTGCGCCTCGTTTTTATGGTTGTTATTAATCGGCAACTATAAAAACGAGTCGCGAGGCTCGAATAATCGTATCTCCTTTTCTCAAATTGTCCATTTTTTGTTTTGTTTACAAGCTGAGGAAAAATTGGGGAGAATTTACTGTACCGAGGTTGTCCGCCAATTTCATTTGTTTTAACGATAATCGATACAGACCGCGGATTTTACGTGTTTACAACAAGAACGAGTAGATGCAAAATGCGAAATCGTTCGAACAATTTAAACATATTATTGCATCGCTGTCAACTTACTAACATTATTAAGAAAACGAATAAATGTCTACGTAATTGCTATATCTTGCAATTAACGAAGATAATTCTCAATTTGCATAAAGATCCGCAGTCTAATAATCATTAATTAATAAAATCTAATACTTGATTTGCATAATCTATAAATTTATAGAAATACCGACTGTGTCCATATGCAATGTTTAAAACAATTTACATACCTTAATAATTTCATTTAAGTAGGTTAGATTATCAAACACTTAATTCAGTATAAATATTTAAAAAAATGAATGAAGAACAAATTAGAGGTATTAGAGATATCACGATGAAGCATCGGTAACA